TGTTGAATATCAAAAGTAAGTTCAATCCGGAAACTCCCAAAGAGGGTGGTTTTGGGTGTGTCTTTTTGACACAACCTCGAGACAAGTTGTTTTTGTTTGTTAATTGAAAATTTTTTAAGTGAAATACAGCATCCTCAAGTTTCCATACTAGCTATTATTAAGGTCTACCCGCAGGGAGTAAATTCAGTATATATCAATAAAGCCACATTCTTAGCATCATTTATTAAGCAATTGCCAACCTGTTATGCTTCTGCTATCACGTTTTTATGTTTAACTTTCAACTGAGATATGAACAATTTCACCTATGACTTGGTAGGGAAGGTCGAAGCATCACGATAGTCAGCAGTAGGATAGCAGTCAGGAACACTTTGAAAGCAGCTACAGGCATAATATTGTACTTGGCTTGCTGCACAGTATCTACCAAGGTGGTTCTAAATGGTTCCTCAATACCGTTGCGTGTCATTTGGAGACTTCCATGCTTCTTGCGCTTGGCCATTAAGCTCGTGATGCGCTGACGGATTTCAGTCACCTTACCACTTCAAATCTCTTTTGGTAACCCCAGTGCTAAAAGAGTGTGGAAAATGCCTTCTTTTTAGCCAGTAAAAATGTCCAAAAAAATGCAGTTCAAATTAAGAAAAACCAGATTGGGTAGTTTGTGTATTTTCAACAAAAATGACCCCCACTGGCTTGTGATGGGCCTGTTAAAATGTTTATAAATATCTATTACATCTTAAAGGTGAGTTCATATTAAATTTAGGCTTAATTGTTAAACAAAAAAGAGAAACTGTAAACATAAATTGTTAGCCATACATTTTTAGCTGTACCATGCTACTAAGCATTTTAGGATTATTATCAGGTGCTCATTTTATTTTTGATATAATTTGTTATTGTCAAATTACTGCATCCGGTATACTCAAGTGCAATTGAAAAAAGTTGGTGGCTAATTTTAACATGCACTATATTACCACAAGTATTGGGACAATAAGGAAATATGCAAGGTTGATAATTCACAATTGTTTGTTCAATTCTAATAGAATGTTAATCTACCAATGGTGACAGTCACAGCTAGGACCTCATCGCTATCACTTTTTAACAAGTTTTGATAGATATCAAGCATAATATTCCACCATGTGCTTATTCAGTAGTGGATTGCGGTTTTTTGACTCTGGCCCTGAGGTGATGTTTCTGTTGGGATTAAATCATGGTTCTGGGCTGGCCACTATATATTTTCAATATTGTTGTCTGCATGCCAGTTTCTTACAGACTCAGCTCTCTGATAGGGTATGTTGTCATGCTGGTAGATGTAAGGGACCTCACTGTAGTATTGTATCAAAGCTGGTAGTTCAAAATTATCCAAAAGATCAATATAAGATGAAGCCTTTCACTACAACCAAAGGACCCAATCTGTACTATGAAAAACAGTCCCACCTTTCACCACTGGGACAACAAAGTTATATGTGTAGCATTTGGCCAGTTGAAACCAAACCCAGACTTATCCATCAGATGCAAGTAAAATGTACCTTGATTTGTCACTCCTTCTGATGTATTACCACTGTTCAGTACACCAATTTGATGTTCCAGGCACCATTTTAATCAGTGCTTTGTATTCAGGAGTTTTATACATGATTTGTGAGAAACACTCTTCCATGAAAACCTTGATTGTGAATTTTCTGTCAGACTGTAGATGCACTGGCCTCAATTCAGCATGTTCACTGGCTTCTTGGGTGATGGATTTAACTGTTTATGCATTTGTTCTATTTGGCTGATCTTGTAACCACCTATAATGGTACAACTATACATGCTATGAATGTACTTTGTGTGTATTCATGTAATTTGGCAAGATTTAATAAACATTACAAACCTGTTATACACAAAAAATCTGTTTTGTTTAAATTAAGTATTTTTGCTAAAGATTTTTTTTTTTTTGCAAATTTACCTAGCCTTTACTGAGTCAATCTGAGTGAAAGGTTATGTTAATGTTAAAAATTAAAATAGTTACTTTCATTTAACTGTTTTCATATTTAATTTTTTTAACCATTAGAACATCTTAAATAAATGTCAGAAGTTTTTTATCTGTAAAACTTTATATTTTATCTCTTATTTTCACTACCCAAACATTAACTGTAGAGATATTGTCGATGGACAGTGAAATGAAGAATTTAAAATATAAAATAAAATGAATAGTGCCATTTTTGTTTTCTAGAATGACTTCAAATTGTAGCAGTTAATTACAATTATTTATGCCAACAACCTCAGTTTCATATCTGGTTTCTTTTAAGTTTATGATTTTATTGCAATTTAAGAACAATAAGTCTTAGCAGAAGCCCATTTGGATGTTTCTGGTAGACAAACGATCAAGTTACAGTCATGCACATACTGCAAGCTCACTTTATTTATCGACTGAACTTATGAAATTTTGAATTTTAATTGAGTTTTGCTACCTAGCCTAAGATGTTTTTAATTTTTACCTTTTAGTTATTTTTATTAAGAAATATATACATAATAAATGCATTTTGTACTCGTGTGAAATTGAGGCAGTTTTTGCACTCCAGTAGATGTTCTTGGGAAGATTTGTTGACCCCTTCATATTTAATCATCCAAAAAATAATCATTTTAGGTTTCAAATATGAATTTTAGAACACAAAAAACACTTGTCAGTAGAAAAAAAATATCTTCAAGCTAATATAATTTATCTGGTTTTTGAAGTAAAAAAAAACTTCCATTAGCTGCTTGGATTGAATAACAACGATCACAGACAAAGAATCTAAGGCCAACTTTCTATGTATGCTGGCAGAAAAGAAAGAACTGTAATAATCTTTATATAAAGGAGAATCAGCTCATTTAATCTGTTATATGATACATATATATATATATACTGTTACGCCTCCAGTCGTTAATTAATTTCCGTAACTTCGTTC